CACACACACACACACACACACACACACACACACACACACATACGCATACACACAACGCACACATGTACGCGCACACACGCGCTCACCCGTGCAGACGCACACGTCCCCCCCCCACACACACCCACACTAAGACGCTGAGTGTGTAGAAGGGTGATTCGCACCCGTGCATGCTCATTTCAATGGCACCTCGTGGGTGAAGCGTCGGCAAATATCGGTTATTTGTGAATTGGAATGCCTCACTCGCGTGGAAACGTGTCAAATAACGGTCTTTAGAGCATGGAACCAGAGCTTTAGCGCAATCTGGTGCGAGTCTCAAGCCGTCGTGAGAAGTTCACGCTGCCCGCTGGCTGAACTAATATCACCTCAGCTATAGACTCTCTCTCTCTCTCTCGCTCTCTCTCTCGCGCTCTCTCTCTCTCTCTTTATTACCCCCGTCTCTCTTTCTCTCTCTCTTTATTACCCCCGTCTCTCTTTCCCTCTCTCTCTCTTTCGCCCCACTTCTCTCTCTCGCTCTCTCTCTTGCGCGCGCTTTCTTGTTCTGTCTCTTTTCTCTCTCGTGTCCTCTTTCCTTCTCACTCCCCTCCCACGCTCCCCTTATCTCGAACTCCACTCTCTCCCACGCTCTCTATATCTCTCGCTGCGCTATCGTTCGGGACCACTCTCTGAGGAGGAGCTAGATGGAGAATATGGCGTACGCTTCTCCCGTTTATCATCCGGTGCTCTTAACGAACTTTTTTACGAACTTCTTAATGAAGCCTGGAGCTATTCTCATTCCGGCGAAACCATCTTCCTTAGTTGAACGCCCGCACACCGCATCCATCGCGACTATTCCTCGTCAGCGCAAACTCGTGCAGGCTCAAGCGACGGATGTAATAACAACTCCCACGACGCAGCAGAGAGGCACCGATGCTCGGCTTGTATTCCTGCGCCTATATACATTCTATTCTCGGAGCAATGACCGCCCGGGAGATTCGCGGCCGCGGGGTGTGTCTCGAACGACGACGCCTCGAAACTTCTACGTGGACAAGCACATCGATCACGAACGACTCTCGGAATAATTAAACCCAGTGACCGCCGCGCGTGGAGGCGCGAAACCTACTGCGAAACTCTCACTATTGCATTGTATGTGGTACACGAAAGGTATATCGAAGCCCAGTGGCTACTGCTTCATTATCACGGTCGTGCAATAGGTGACGTAAAGTGGGTGTCGTATCGATTCACTGGTGACAGCGTGTAAGATGTGTCACCATAACACACACACTTGATGACCCACCTCACTGCTAAAGTCATAAAACTGGTGCTATAACGTACGTGCCACGCTGGTTTTCCCCCGAGCTCGTTCAAAGGACACCATAACGCAGTCAATATTACATTGCTATTTCGCTGCCAAGGTCACTTGTGATGAACCCCGTGGGTGTATATGCCGCGGGGCATAACACTGCGTGGCTCAACGATCAGTAACAACGATCAGTAACAGTTATAACCGATGCGAATAAACAGCTGAGTAACGTCCGTGTGTCACCCGTGAAGAGATACAAGTCAGACACGCCCTGTTTGTCTTACCAGCGACGTTTCAAGCGCAAATAGTCGCACGCAATAAACTACACTTTAATTTTGGTGCGTAAAAATAAAAATAAAAAAATAAATAAATAAATAAATAATAATATATCAAGACGTGCATAATAGAGATAGAGATAGAAGAGAGAGATAGAGATAGGATAAGAGAGATGAGAGATAGATAGAGAAGAGATAGAGATAGAGATAGGTGCCAATCATAATCTCTATTAGCACTCGTTGGATATATATATTATATATATAATATAATCATATTTAATTATTATTATTATAAGCATAATAATATAGATATAGGATAGATAGATAGATAGATAGAAGCAGATAATAGATAAGACCAGATAGATAGATAGATAGATAGATAAGGCGGAAATGATAAGGGATAGATAGATAGATAGTAGAATACTATATAATATATAGTATATTATATACTATAGAGTAGAGAGAGAGAGAGAGAGATATGATAGTAGATAGATATGATAGATAGATAATTAGATATGATAGATAGATAGATAGATAAGATAGATAGATAGATAGTACTAATAGATAGATAAGATCAAGATAGATAGAATAGATAGATAGATAGAATAAAGATAGCATAGATAGAAGATAGTAGATAGATAGATTAGATAGATAGATGTATAATAATTACAGCAACATTGACATTCGCCTCGTATGATCTGACAACAAATTAGCGCCACGCAGTTAATTAAAACTGAAACGCAAACAAAACATTCGGCACACGTACATACGCCCCGATACCAGCGAGTGATTCAACAGGTGGCCACTATTTAGTTACACTGAAGACGACTTCAAACGCAAAGGCGACGTGCTGCGTGCGTACATGTGCTTTCCCACACTCCGCCTCGTGCATTGTAGGCTACGTGTAAGCGGCTACACTGAAATGTTGCACAGCCTATAACTATGCCGGATTAGCCATCGTCTTCATGCATAACATCGCAAATCGCAAAACTTTGTATGCACCCCGGTACGCGGCAGTTCCCCTAGGTCGCCGAACGAGTGCAATATTCGAGTCTAATCCAGTTCGCTCACAAGCGATGCGAAATTTAGTAGCAATCAGATCCCTGTGCAAAAAAAGTGCAGTGCATGCGCGAGCGAGCGCGTTTAATAGAGCGGCATTATTATACTCGGCAGCAGCAGACCGGCGTAGTGCGGTGCTGGAGCTCTTCCTGCTCAACTCTCTCTCTCTCTCTCACCTCTCTCTCTTCTTCTCTCTCTCTCTCTCTCCTCTCCTCTTCCTCTCTCTCTCTTCTTCTCTCTCTCATCTCTCTCTCTCTCTTCTTCTCTCTCTCTCTCTCTCCCGCTACTTTTCCCCTCTTGCTCTTTCTCTCTCTCTCTCTCTCTCCCCTCGTGGCTACTCTTCTTGCTCCTCTCTCTCCTGCTTCTCTTCCTCTTCTCTCTCTCTCTCTCTCTCTCTCTCTCTCTCTCTCCTCTCTCTCTTCTCTCTCTCTCTCTCTCTCTCTCCTCTCTCTCTCTCCCTCCTCTCTCTCCTCTCCCTTTCTTTCGTCTC